CCCTTGAGGAAGAAATGTGAGAAATACCCTGGTCTTCAAGCTGACATCTTCACAAATCCTTTCCTAGGTGGGGGAGTCTTGGATATCTGCCAAATTTCTAATTTAAATTCAGTTTTCTTCAGACATCTGTCACCATTGCCCTCAGACCCTGGTTCTACCTGTCCCTGGGTTCTCTAACTTCCTCTTTGCTGACATCTTCCCTGAGGGGTACCGCCTTTTTCAATCTCCCCAGAAATACAGAGACTCATCTGAGGAAGAATTCAACTTGGACAAACATAAAAAATTCAAGCCTGAGGAAGCTTAAGAGGGAAGGTGTTGTCCACCAGCACCCTCTCTGTGTTGTGCACCTCTACTCTTAGACCAATGGGGATGACATGCTGACCCATCTGTGTTTTCACTCCTTCTCAGTCACTCTGTAAGGTGTTTTTTTTTTTTTAAACAAAAGAAAAAACCCTCTTGCTACCACTACCTACCTTCCCTGGTTTATTCAGTGTCTTGAACAAGCAGATCTTGCTTTTTCCTGTTCCTATGGAGGGAGTTCTGACATCTTCTACCATGCTCGGAACTCAAACATACAAGCTAGCACTGGCCACTCTCAGGCTTTTTACTTCTTCCATACTCTGTTCTAGGAGGTCCCAAAGTCCTCTCTGAAACAAGTAAGCTGTCATCATCCCCCTTGGGTGTCTAGCTGAGCTCCCCAACTATGTAACAGCAGCTGAGAAAGGCCTGGACAGTTCTGGAAGTAATGATGTAAAGGTGTAAGCTGCAAGACCTGGAATGGGCCATCACAGCCACCAGGTCTGCCCCCACCATAAAACCCAGCAGCTTTGTCTCCCTTATGGTGATTCCCGTCCTTGAAATTCTGGCATTTGGGGTCATGGAAGTTGATGATAACTGATCAAGGAAGAGGCTCTAACTAGAGTAAACAAAAACAAAAACAAAAACAAAACAAAAAACCCCAGTTGCCGTTGAGTTGATTCTGACTCATGGTGAGCCCATGTATTTCAGAGAACTGTGCCCCCTACGGTATCAATGGCCATGACTGCACGGAAGCACACTGCAAGAACTTTCTTCTAAGGGGACCCTGGGTGGATCCGAATGACCAGCCTTTCAGTTAGCAGCTGAGTCCTTAACCACCTGGGTTCCCTGACTGCAGTAGAGGCGCTCATTCTCCATAGCCCCAGGGTCCTGCAGGTTGAGCTGACCACCTGCTCCACTTGGTAGGGTTTCTGAGCAGCCAGAAGTTTCTGATACACTCACCTACTCTGTGGGTCTTCCCACCTGCTTTCACGGTGATTTTCTTTCTCCCTCGATGCCTCTGACTCTAGATCTGCCCCATTCTTAGTCTTGAAAACTTGCTAGCTAGTCAGGCAGAGCAAGATGGGCTCAGACCCAAGGATTGAGGCTGTAGGTAGAGGCTGACATCTCCCTGTGCTATATAGTAAGATCATCCACCATACTGTAGAGACTAGACACTGGGCCGAGTGCTAGCCAAAATGCCTCACAATAATCATACGAGATAGGAGGAATCAATACCATGTTTTACAGCTGAGGTAACTGAAGCTCAGAAAGGTTAAGTGATTTCATTCCAACCTAGTCTGACTTTAAAGTCCAGACTGTTAACCACCATGTGGTTGACCCCAAGTGTCTTCTTTGTTGTAGCCTCAGGGTTGAGCATATCAGGCTCGTGGTAAGAACTCATGAAATAGCGGTTGTGTGAATGAATTGAATGGATGAACCAATATAATTTGTTGTTGTTGTTGTTATTTGCCTTTGAGTCAGACCTGACTCATAGTGACCCCTCCTTGGGTTTCCAAGGCAGTATCACTACGGAAGTAGATTGCCCCGTCTTCCTTCCGAGGAGTGGCTGGTGGGTTTGAACTGCCAGGCTTCTGGTTAGCAGTCAAGTGCCTTAGGCACTACGCTACCAGAGCTCCCAATAGAATTTAGTAGAAGGCAATAGAGGGTGTGTAGAGGAGGCTTAGTGAATAAATCCTGGGTTAAGATCAGGTTAGGTGGGGGAGTGTCCACCACCAAACAGGTTCTGGGGATCAGCATGGGAGTAACCAGCTTTAGAAAATCTTATGTTTTGTAATTAACTCATTAGGCAACTTTGGGCTTGTCCTTTCTTCTAGGGCCTCAGTTTCTTCTCAGTCAACTGGGGGTTGGTCTAGATTAGGGTCAGCAAAAATTTTCGGTAAGGGGCCATACAATAAATATTTTAGATTTTGAGGTAAATATTTTAGGTCTCTGTCACAACTACTTCATTCTTTCGTTGTAGTGGGAAAGTAGCCATGGAGATACAAGAGTGAGAGTAACTGTGTGAAAATAAAACTTCATTTACAAAAACAGGTACCTGGATTTGGCCCACAGGCTGTTTGCTGATTCTTGATCTAGATGGCCTCAGAGGTACCTTTAATTCTAACAGTCTATGATTTAAGACTTAGAACCAGTTGTGCCTAGAAGAGAAGTGACCATACCATGTCATTATGGTGCCCATGGGAGACATTACTAATTGATCACAGGGCTCTTACTTGATAAAGTGGCCTTTATCAATAAATCCTAGATAGAAATTTCTAACTATAGCATTCACCCTTTTAATCATTGCAAACATTTAGAAAACTCCAGATGACCCCTGAGTGTGGCTCTGAGGAACAGAGAGTGGGAAGTGTGGGAGCTTCTCCTATCTTCATCCCTATGTTAGAAAAATCAATGTGACCTCTACCAGGCACCGCATGGTGAGAACCAAAATCCTGAACCCAAGCCAAGCCGGCTGCCCTGAGAGTGAAGTTACCCACGGATGGAAGTCAGCCCTTCTATCTCTCCCCTACCTGCCTTACTGGGTTCCTTAGCCTGAGTGAAAACATCTGGTTAATAGCAGTGACCAAGTGCACCCTAATTTTCTTCCTCCACCAGATTTACAACACTGAGCAACTTCTCACAGAGCGGTCTGCTGCTAGTTGGCTCCCTGGTTGATGATTACTTTCTAAATCAGTCCATGTAGAGTCATCACTGATGGATCATATGTGACTCTTTGTTGTCTACTTGACACACCTTCACTTTGAAGATTGAATAGGGGAAATCCCGAGAATGAAGAGGCCACATGATGTTCTAAGAACCTGCGCTTTGCAGTCAGACAGGTTTGGGTTGAATGATCACTCTATGATAGTTAAAAGTAACCTTTGCAGATTCTGTAGTATGTGTTGTATTGTTAGTTGCTGTGGAGTCGATTCTGACTCATGGAGACCCCCTACAGAGTTTTCTTGGCTGTAATCTTAACAGAAGCAGATCACCGGGCTTTTTCTTTTTCTGTACTGCTGGGTGGGTTTGAACCATCAACCTTCAGTTTAGCAGCCAAGCACAAACTGTGCTTAAGCCATGTAGGGACCTTGTGTAGCACACAGAATGGTTTCAACAAATGGCAGCAATAATTTTTGGCTAAGGAGGCTTTTGGGCTAAGCAGCAGTCCTCTAATACTTTGTGTTTGTTTCTTTTAATTTCATTCATTTGATGCTTGTTGAGAATATGCACAGCAAAACATATACCAGTTCAACAACTTCTACAATTTAGTGACATTGATTACATTCTTCAAGTTGTGCAACCATTCTCTACCCTTTTCTGAGCTGTTCCTTCCCCACTAACAGAAACTCACTTTCCCCTAAGGTTCCTATTTAATCTTTTGAGTTGCTATTACGAATTATACCCTGTATAGATAGATCTTAAAAGACTATTAAACTATTGTTTGGTTTTTAGAAGACTTTTAGGGATATTTTTGTTTTAAGGGTTAAAGATTATCTCAAGGCAACAGTTTCAGGGGTTCATCCATCATCCATTGCTCCAGAAAGGCTGGAGTTCATGAGAATTTAGAAGTGTGTTCTGCATTTCCCCCCTTTTGATCAGGATTCTTCTATAGAATCTTTGATCAAAATGTCCAATAATGGTGGCTGGGCACCATCCAGTTCTTGTGGTCTCCTGGCAAGGGAGTCAGTTATTGATGGGGGTAGTAAATCACACATTCCATGTCCTCCTTCTATTCCTCACTCTCCTTCCTCTGCTCCAGGTGAATAGAGACCAATTGTTGTGCCTTGGATGGCTGCTTGGGAGCTTTGAAGACCCCAGGCACTACACAACAAACTAGGCAGTAGAAGAGAAGCACTAAACGTGTTATTAGGCCAATTTAATGGGATGGCCCATGAAACCATGACCTTAAGCAGTCTTCTAATATTTCAAATCACACTAGATAGCTAGATGTTGATTACAGTGCTCAGCTGAGTCCTTTCATACCCTTCTTCTCACATCCCCTGAGAAGAGCTGGCTTGTTGGTATCATTCCATTTCACAGCTGAGAAGACTGAGCTCCAAAGAAATTGGCTGGGGCAGAGCTCGTCCTTCTGCGTCTTTCATTCAGCAACTGTCTAATGAGTGCCTTCTATGCAGCGGGAGCAGACCAGGCACTGAAATCTAACGGTGTAAATATTTTGGGGAAATTATTTGCTGGCTGAGTGATATGACATCTGATCTTTCGAGAAGGAACTTGAGTAATCCACCTGGGAGTTGCATAATCCCCAAGAGCCCAGGAATGTGAGCAGTGGTGCCCTTGCACAAGGCCTTAACTGAAAGTCCACGTCTGTTTCCAGCTCAGGTGAAACTAGTACCTTTGCAATTGACCTGTTCTCCTCCTTTCTTCCTACAAGGCTAATGGGCCCAGGCCTCCCACAATGTTTAGACCTCAGATGGACACTCGGGAAGGCCATCTTATCAGCCTTGTGACACATTCCTGGCCAACTTCTTCTCTTTCTTTCCTAGTCTGCTCTGGTGGCCTCATGGTCTTGCTTGGGTCAGGAAAGGGCCATCATCTCCCTGGTGTCAAGTCTCTGGCTGAACTTCCTGACTGTGCAATAGCAGCTGGGAGGAGCCCAGGAAATCCTGGCAACACCCACTATTGAAGTTATAAAGACTGAGGCTTGGTGTTGGCCATCAGAGCCACCCCTGATCTCCACCATGAAGTCCAACGGCCTCTTCCCTCTCGTGGTGCTCTTTGCCCTGGGGACTCTGGAACCTTGGACTGTGGAAGGCGTTGAAAAGAGTGAGTTGGAGTCACCTTGGCCCAATCTGGGCTGCAGGGTGAGAGGTGGGGTCTTCAGGTGGTGTGGGGATGGCCCCTTCTGTAGTCCCTTCTCACAGCTTAGTTACAGATCTCTCTGAGGCTGGAATTCATGTCCACCTGGGCACCAAGGTCTCTGGGAGGGCTTCAGAGATCTACCCTTCTGTGTTTATTCTTTCTTCCCCCCTCCCTCCCTCCTTTCTTCTTCCTCCCCTCCCTTTCTTTCTGCTTTTGTGTCCTTCCTTCTCTGCCTGTATCTGTGACTCTCCAATCACCAGCCTTTGAGTCTTTCTGGTTCTCTGTTGTTTCTCTCTGTTTGAATCCCTTTTTTTTTCCTTTCTGCCTCTGCCTTTCAACCTCTGTCTTGGGGGTTCTATTTATGTTTTTTTTTTTTTTTTTCACTGTCTCCATCGCTCCTGGCCTTCCTCTTCTTTTGTGGATCCTTGCCTTTCTCTAGGGCAGGGGGGACCTTGGCTGAGAGCGCTGTGCCTGCTTTTCTGGCTCCGTGGCCTCTCTGGCACGTATACCTGTCACTCTTCATGGAGGGCAGGCAGGCCTCTCCCTTTGGACTTCGTGGATGGCTACCTGGGTCAGACAGAGCAGAACCAGACCTCTCGCAGGCCCCTCCTGACCTCTTGACCTTCTTCGCAGTGCCTGTGAAAGCTGGCCTCTGCCCCCCTAGGAAACCTGCCCAGTGCTTGAGATATGAACCACCTGAGTGCAAGAGTGACTGGCAGTGTCCCGGGAGGAAAAGGTGTTGCCCTGATTTTTGTGGTATCAAATGTCTGGATCCTAGTGCCACCTTGGCAACAGGTGAGGAGGAGGGAGAGCTTGGTGGAGAGGAGGGATCCTGAGGACATAGCATCTAGGAGGAGAGGACTGGGATGGGGTCCTGCCAGTCCCCCTCCTTCCCACAAGCTTCTGAGCCAAGTATGTCGGCCAGCCAGGGAGTCACACTGCTCAGGTGGGAGGTGAGTCAGGCAGGCTGGGGGAGGTCAGTCTATCAGGCAATCATCTGACCATTCAGATGGGCAGGCCATTGGCAGGCACTCACTCAGTTAGCACCAGACAGCTGATCCCCTGCACTGATGCTAGTGAGGGCTTGATGTCAGAGGAGTCAAGATTCTCCCTTCAGGGGAAATAGTGGTGATGGGGCAGGGGGAGTGTGATTCTCCCAGCTCATGGTGGGGCAGGGGCAGGGATGTGACATCTAGGATACAAGGCCTCTGACTTGTAGCCTTACTCTCTCCAGATAAGAAGAAGCCTGGGAAGTGCCCAGTGGTCAATGGCCAATGTTTGATGCTCAATCCCCCCAATCACTGTGGGAAGGACAGCCAGTGTGAGGGGAACTTCAAGTGCTGCAGAGGCATGTGTGGGAAAGTCTGTGTGGCCCCTGTGAAAGGTAAGGTGGGGGCTGGGGCAGATTGAGCACCCTCCTCCCAGGCCCTCTCAGCTTCAACCCTCTGGAGGTCCAGGCAGGTGGGCAGGGGGAGGCCAGAGCCACACCCCCAGCAAAGCCTCTGCTTGACCCGTCCTTCAATAGCACCAGTTCCCAGGCCTCAGGGCAAGACTTTCCACGGCATCACCCATGCCTTTGACTCTGTTCCAGCCTCTCTGAGTAAGGGCCTTGAGCAAGTGACTCTGAGTCTCAGTTTGCTTATCTGTAAAATGGACATAATGAAATTTCTTTGTAAAGCACAGTGTCCATGAAGTATTGATTATTGAGGTCATTTCCAGCACGCTGTCTCAGGTCACAGCCCAAAGGGCCAGTGGAGTTTGAGGATAGTCTAGCTCCATGTTCTGATTGTACAGTTGGAAAACTCCAAGGCAACAGTCAGGAAAACCGAGACTTGATTGTACAACACAAAGAGTGTGCCCTAATGTGAACTATGGACCTGCGTTAATAATAATGCCTTCATATTGCATCATCAAACGTACCACAAGAATGCAAGATGTTACCAACAAGAAAAAATGTGTGCAGGTGGGAGGGGAGAGTAGGAAACTCTGTACTTTCTGCAAGGTCCCTGGATGGTACAAATGGTTTGTATTCGAATATTGACCTAATGGTTGGTGGTTCAAACCAATCCAGTGGCATGTGGAAGAGAGGCCTGGTGATTTGCTTCTGTAAAGAGTAAAATCAAGAAAACCCTATGTAGTAGTTCTGCTCTGTAACACAACAGAACCGGACTCCTCCCAATCCCCCCTTGGTCTTTTGAGTCTTAGAATCAAATGGTTCGGCAGGGGGTATGGGTTTGGGTACGTTCTGCACAAAATTTTTCTGTAAATTTAAAACTGCTCTTAAAAAAGGTCTATTAACAGGCACATGAGGTGAACATTTCCATTAGGTAGATACAGTCCTCGGAGAGATCAGACATGGGAGAAAGAAGGGCTGTGTATGCACAGGGAAACATCTCAGGGGGCAGGAGTGCATGGAGGGAAGGACACAGGGAAGAGGTGGCTATGGGGAGGAAGTGGGAGGAAAGCTGTTGCATTGTGGGAGATTACAGTCAATGTCATGAGACAAAGTGTGTGTGAACTGCTGTATGGAAGATGAATTTGCTCTGTAAACTTTCACCCAAATCACAATAAAAAAAAAAAGGTCTATAAAAAAGTAAAACAAACCAAACCACCCTTTTCCCTCCTCCCTCCAAAAAAAAAAAAAGCTACAATATTTCAACACATGAGATTTGAACCAGTCTCCTGATACCAAGATTCTCAGCCACACCACACATTGCTGTTTTCTGTACCTTAGGGTTCCTCTGGGGGGAAGAATGTGGAGATGACCTAGCTGGTTCCTATACTGAAACTCTGTTCTGATTTTCACTCACAGGATGATTCCAGCTGTGTGGTCTGGGAGTTCCTTCTCTGCCCTCTGCCTGAGTCACTGGGACACTCCATGGTGAAGACTGGTTCTGCCACCAATACCTTCTTTGGGGCACTTGCACGAAGTGCCTGCTGATTGGTGAATGAATAAACAAACATATTTCTTTCTGCACACCTGCTGATGTGGTTCATTGCGGGCAGGAGTTGGGTGGGAGGTGATGAGGGAATGTCTGAATGTGAGGCCTCCCTCTTCCAGATATGGGATGGAAAGAAGAGGCTGAGGGCTGGACAGACATGAATTTGCATCATGGATCTGAAGGTACTGGCTCTGTGATTTTGGCCAAGTGACTTTATCTCCCCGAATATCAATACTTGCTTTATTTTCAAATAAAAATCATGTTTTCTCATTGTTCTGAGCACTGGAGTATGCAGCACGTGTGAAACAAGGAGCGATGTTATTGGGCCACAGGTTCTCCAAGAACTCAAGAATCACCTGAGGTGATTTTGCATTTCTTTTCTTTCTCAAGACACTGTTTTCTTCCACCTTCAAATAAGAATACTGCCCAGCTACCACTGTCATCCACTTGGAAGGGGATCTATGTAGGAGATCCTGGATAGAGTGGGAGAACAATGTGGAACAAAACTCAAAGTCATTTTTTGATAAAAAGGACCAGGTTTGCTGGTCTGATAGAGCCTGATGGAACCCCTGAGACTGTGGCCCCTAGCTGCCCTTCAGGTCTGGAATTGAACCCACACCTGTGGCTTCCAGCCAAACAAAAGACAGGCATATGAGCTGAACATTTACATCAGGTAGATACATTCTTTGCAGACATCAATCATGGGAGAACAGACGGGCTGTGTGTGCACAGGCAGACAGCTCAGAGGCCAGGAGTGTATGGGAGGGAACGATACAGGGAAGAGGTTAACTATGGGAAGGAAGTGGGAGGGGAGCAGCTGTAGTTAATGTCATGAGACAAAGTGTATGTGAGCTTCTGTATGGAAAATGAATTTGCTCTGTAAACTTGCATCCTGCCCGCCCCCCCAAAAAAGAATATTGCCATGGTGGACATCCAAGGCCTAACAATTGGTTTCTACTTGCCTAGAGTAACAAAAGGACAGTCAGGAATAGGATAAGGAAAGAGAACATGTGACTAAGTACCTCCATGAACAACTGCCTCCTTTACTATGAGACCAAAAGAATTGGATGGTGTCCGGCTGCCATTAGTGAACACTTTGATCAAAGATTCCATAGAACAATCCTAAGCAAAATGGGGGAAAATGCAGAACAGAATTTCAAATTTTCATGGACTCCAGGCTTTCTGGGACCATGAAAGGTAGATGAACCACTGAAAGTATTGCCCTGAGATAATCTTTAAACCTTAAAACAAAACAAAACAAAAAATCCCTTGAAGTCTTCTAAAAACCAAACAATAGTTTAGCTTAAGTAGTACTGAATGTCTACCTTGAACACTGTGTTCTATCTATGTGTCTATATGGGACCAAAGAGAAAAGAGTAACTCGAAAGATTGGACAGAAATCTTAAGCAGCAAAATTTATGTTAATGGGGGAGGAACAACTCGGAAAAGGATGGTGAGAATGGTTGTACAACTCAAAGAATGCAATCAGTTACTAAACTGTACATGCAGAAACTTGTTGAATTGTATGTTCTGTTGTGCATTTTCTCAGCAACCACAACAAGATAAAATAAATTTTTTAAAAGAATACTTTCATGGTGGGTCATGTGTATGACAAGCTGTTGGCCCACACCAAGAGGCTGGCATCATTTTTGATGCCTGGGAATAGGAGGAGTAACAAGGACTAGGTTGCTAGAGCCAGGGGGCAGGCAGGGGACTTCTCTCCATATTTCTTTGTGATCTCTGGACTCTAGAGGAAACTAGAAACTTAATTAGATAATGATTTTTCAAAAAAAGGCAAAATAAAATTCTAATTCAATTCTTTCATGGAAGAAGTGACTGGACTAAGAAAATATTCCTTTCCACCCTTAACTAATCTTTCAAGAGCAGCAGCTGGATGTGTTAATCATTTCAGAGAAAAGGAAAAAGAGAAAGAACCTTTGTATTCATTTTATTGTAAGTGTACTAGCTACCCTCCGGGTTGGCTCCCACTGACCCTCATACTTCTTGGTATCCACACCCTTGTGTAGTCTTCTCCACCCCACATATTTTCCCAGGGTTGGTCTGTGTGACCAATAAAATATTGCAGAAGTGATAGATAGTTACATCCTTCTGAGATTAGGTGATAAAGGGACTGCCGTGCAGCTTCATTTTGAGAGCACTGCACGTTCTCTCTTATTCCTCTCGCTCCGGGGGAAGCCAGCTGCCATATCATGAAGGCACTCACATGGTGAGGAGCTGAAGCCTCCAGCAAACAGCCTGTGAGGTACCGAGCCCTACCGACAAACATCTGAGTGTTTCTGGAAGTGGATTTTTCATCCTTAGCCATGTCTCGAAAGGACAGCAGTCTCAGCAGACAGCTTAATTGTAACCTTACAAGTGACCGTGAGCCAGAACCACCTAGCTAAGCTGTTCCTGGATTACCGATGCTCCAACTGTGACATAATGCTTACGGTTTTAAGCTGGTAAGATGTTGGCTACTTTGTTATGAAGCAACAGATAACTAATACTATGAGGTTGGCAAAGTTCTGACACTATAACCATATATGGCAGTAGAAGAAAAGATAATCATGGGCCAATGTCGTCTTCTGTCAACACACTTGTGAACACACTAAATAAAATGTTAAATGTTAAAATTCATTGGGGTTTTAAAAGTTTTCATATAGTTCCACATAAATTCTTTATAAAAAAAGGTGGAACAGGAATGAAAGGATAAACGTGAATCCCAAAAAGATATCTACCTGAAATTCTGTAGAAAAACCTACATAAAATTGAATTTGCTACTACAAGTAGATATGGAAAGTAGAAGAAAAGATAATTACGGGCCAAAGTATTCTCTGAAAACAGTTGTGAACATCCTTATCTATAAAAAAATAAACAAACCAAACTCACTGCCATCCACTTGGATCCTACTCATAGTGACCTCTCCTTGGCTTTCCGAGGCAGTATCGCTATGGAAGTAGATTGCCCAACCTTCCTTCCAAGGAGTGGCTGGTGGGTTTGAACTGCCAGCCTTCTGGTTAGCAGCCAAATGCCTTAGGCACTATGCCACCAGTGCTCCTTCCTTATCTATAGGCTCAAAAAATAATTCGATGTTAGAATGTCTATCAAAGTAATTTACAAATATACAATCATTTCAATTGTCTAAAAAGCTTTCATAAAGTTCAATATTAATTCTTTATAGAAATGAAGAACAGAGGTCAAAGGATGAAAATTAACCAAAAAAAAAAAAAAAAA